ATTATTAAACCATAGGCTGACATATGAAAACATCTGCGGTAATTCAGTCTAATGTAGAGTGGCCCTGGCTTGCAGATGGGCAAAATAATAACAATAACAATAACGATAACGATAATGATAAAGAAGACGATGACGACGATGACGATGGGTAGAGTTGGTCTCATACAGAGCTTTTTATATTTGAAGTTCACACAAATACATGCAGGTTTTGGATCGGGACAATGATTTTGAAAAACATTCAGAAAGTTACTTCAAAATGTTTTGTCTGTTGGCCCAAAGCAATATTTGCAATGTAAAAGTTATTTTCTGAAGAAGACTTAAGTTTCTCTTACTTTTGCTCCATCCCTTTTAGCATCTATATTTGGGACTGAAATTTTAATGAGCCATCCATATACTTCTGTGCTAAAACAGCAGCTTGTTGCTTTAGAAACTGTTAGCAGTGCTTCCTTGTTCTTGAACCACAACCTGCTTAATTATTTGGACTCTTTACTTCCTCCCCTACTCCCAAATTTTAGACCACTTTTCCAGATGAAGAATTCAAGAAAACTTGAAAGCCTCCTGTTACTAATCTTTTAATAATGCTGTTGTCAGTATTTGAACTTTTGTGATTTGTAAAAATTTGAAAGGATTATGGAGAAGGTGCAGGGGAAAAAAAGCCTTAGAAGTAAAGTGCAGTTTAAAACTATGCCTTGTAACTGCTCCTATGAATCATTTCATACTGGTCTAGACACCACAGATCAAAGTTACAGAATTTGCAAACAATGTTCTGCCAGCTAAGTGTATATATCTTTCATTTAACTTGAGCGCCATCTTTTGAAAAAGTATAAATATTTGAACCCTGGGAATTCTGTCAATACATTATAATTAAGTATAAAAAAAAACAAAGGTGCCACAATTTTCCTAAGGTTGAAAGGTAGTGAAAATAACAAATGTTATGTAAACACATTTTGTTAACTTGAGGAAGCTGAGCAGGAACAAAATGAATGGGAATTTGAATTTGGCCATAACATGTAGAATTTCTTAATGTGGAATATGCTCAGTCATTAAAACAAAAGAGGAAATGGAAACAATTGGAAAGTGCTATAAATATGAGAAAGGAGACACACACATCCATGCATCAGGCTATTTATTCTTAACAAGATAGTTTTGCATTATACTACACACGCCAAATGTACCGATATCATAGGGCACCAGAAAATCAACAATGAGATTTCCTTCATAGATTTTTAATGGCTTTGACTGAGTGAGAACGTTATTCAAATATATTTTTTTTTGGTATATGTTATTAGTGTGCTTAGAGGCTAAAAAGTTCCTAGTGAGAGTCGGGGGGGGGAAGAGAATGTAATCAGGGAAGGGGAAAGGGAGGAAATGGAAAGGCATGGACTGAAAGAGAAAGGAGTAATGCAAAAAAAGTATTTTCACTTTCCCTGACCCTCTAGAGACAGTCAGGATTGATAGCTGATGGGCTAGTAGCCTGGGGCTACAAGGGGTCATTTGGTATTAGGATGGGAGGAGCATGCCAAACGGCACATAACTCTCCCACGCCTCAACGGACCCTTTGTAGCCCAATCCAGCCCACATGCAGAACAGCCAGTGTGAACAGGCCCGTAGAATGTTTGGAAATAAAAATAATAAATAATTTTAAAAAATTCATCTCTATATTACATTTCTAAACATCTAGACTTGTATCCCATATGTTGTTTGCCCTTGACCTATATTCAGTGTCAGTTCGCCTGAAATGATACTAAGCATGTCTGGATCTGGACAGTGTATAGGTAGAAGACCATGTGGGAATTTGACCTAATATACTGCCACAGATTTTAGGGAAGAAAAGTGGGGAAATAAATGAAACGTATACACAATGTATATCTCATTGCCAAATTATCTGGGCTGATATACCATATTTCACAAGAAATGCCCACACTATGAATGAATACAACCACCAGCTGCTAAGTATTAAGGCATAAAATCCTAGCCTATTTGACCTCTTCATTACATAGTATAAGGATATGCCCATTGTGAAGAACTTGGTATATATTAGTGCAGATGAATGGGTCCATGTTATCTCTTTCCTTGTCCTCCCCTGTACTTGCCACCATTCAAACGTAATGTAAGGAATGGTGAGCAGGCAATGGGCAATTTCAGTTAATCAAGACCTTGCATCCATCACGGATTCAAAAAGGCATTTCCTGCATGCCATTTGCAAACTGCAGATAAGCAGGAATTGGCCTCTCAAAGAAATGGCCCATTCGGATAAAGAAGTTAATACCTGCCGGCTTATTCTCAACCTGAAAGGCTGTCTTCATAAATAATGGAACATTGGTTACCGTGTATTTTACAAGTTCAGTGAAATAACTGCTGTGGCTGAATAATGGAAAGGCACGGACATTATTGGAACCTTATAGGGTGTACTGTTGATAACCTTCTGCAATGTACAATATCACAGTGTAATGAGAACATGTTCCTTTTTCCAAATATGGGAGGGGGGGAAACAGGGTGCTAGCAATTAGCTGATCAAAGGATAATCCCTTTTGTAGTAACTGTAACATTTAGTTAGTTTTACAGTTATGGAGGTGTAGCCTCAACAAATAGTAGATGAGGAATATCTCATGGTTTAAACCCTTGCTTATGGAGTGCTCTGTGCCCTGTTGTGGTTTTTGAAGCTGCAATAAGGTAAATACAAAGAGTGTGTTTTGTACCACAATGGCTTATAGTTTGTAGATGGCTTTTGAAAAAATTGCCAAGAAGTAATCTTTTAGGGTGCCTTTGAGAAACAGGAGAGTAAACATTCTTTTTCTTTTCTTTTTTATACTTTAAAAATGAAATGACAACTGTAGCTACAAGCTTTTGGCAACAACTGTATTTGCAACTATTTTCTTTAAAACCAAACAAAAGAAAAATTAAAAAATACAGCTGTATTTATAAGTTCAAAGTTTGAAAACAAAAGAATCAGAAAGACTTAGAACGTCCATCAAATTAACCTGCAGTAAATAGGATAACTAAAATGGAGGCAATGCTGATTGCATCGCTTACACTCTAAGACAGTCAAATGTCTTTTAAAAGGCAAATGATTTATTGTGATCCGATAACACTTACTATAACATTCTGGAATTAGCATACTTCTTCTGAATGACACATATTTGATCCTTTAACAAAATATGGCATATTAGTCTAAACACTTTGTATAGCAAAATCAGGTGTAATGTCACAGCATGTTCTGCAACATATGGACTTCTTACAATGTCTTCTCAAAAGACATTGCTCATGCCAGCAGGGTGCATTGGAAACTCTTGCCCACATGTTTGTGCACTGTCCACTCCACCCAGAGTGATCGTTCCAAATTTGTGGCACGGGTCCTGTTACAATTGGAGGGAGAATCTGATGTGGACAAAGTTCGTTTTATGTTATCTGTGGAGGTGCCTGACATTCTGGAAAGAATTGCAGGTTTCATCAGCTCAGTTGTGAGAAAGTGAAGCCTCGCTTTCAATTAAATGTCTTTGAAATGTTTGGTCTTCTGCTTTCTTACCTCCTGGATTTTGTATGCATGGGGCACTTAATGAATCATTTTGGTTATGTTTCATTCTCTTTATGCCAAAAAAGGTTTTGTCTTGTCTTGACCTCGTACAGCAGCATGGTTTCTTTTAAGAACATGGAGATCTTATAGCAGTGGATAAAGCACTGCCATAGTTTCTCAGCATGTCCACTTATGTTTTATGATATATACTTCTTTTAGCACTCCATGTAAATCTAACAAGTCACCCAGGGACATTAGTATGTTGTGATAGCTCAGTTTTATCAGTTTTAGCAATGATGGGAAAGCAGAAGCAAAATGCAACCCCTAGCACACTAATAATCGTAACATTTTCATTGGTTTGCTCCATAATACAGAAGTCAATTATCTGTGCATATCATGGCCAGATTTGGATGTCAAGTTAAACCAGAGGCTGGAAACCAGTAGGCGGATATTCTTGTACTTCAATGGATGAGGATGAAAGTGGCCATAGTACAAAATCTGAGAGGCCACAAGTATCCATCCGTGTGCTAAATCATAGTTTAATATAGTAAGAATGAGATGTAGTGAATTTAGGACTCTACTGTTGCTTCTTCTTCTCTGCTGGAGCCACAGAGAGTTTGGAAGTTTTCTTATCTCAATTAATCACTGTTTAATGTACTATCCAAACCTCAAACTATGGTTAACTGTTAACTAATGGTTCATCAAAGAAGCCAGTCTATTTGGAATAGAGATGGGGGTATTCGTATTAGTACCGCACAGCTGCAGTTAAAGAGAACTGTCCGGCGGTGGCCGCCAGCGGCGGTGGCCCTATTCTTCCTTCCAATCACTCCGGAGCACCCGGTCGGCTAGCCACTCATCAGCCTTACAGGGAGATTTGTCTTCCCTCCTTCTGCCAAGTGGTGTCCGCCAGTGGCGATGGCCCTGTTCTTCCTTCCAATCACTCTGGAGCACCCGGTCGACTAGCCACTCATCAGTCTTGTAGGGAGATTTGTCTTCCCTCCTTCTGCCAGGGCACCTGTTAACACCAGCTGTGCGAGGGTATTCGTACATGAGTGCACCCATCTCTAATTTGGAATGTTTTTAAAATACGTGGACTGTTAACACCAGCTGTGCGGGGGTATCCGTACATGAGTGCACTCATCTATAATTTGGAATGTTTTTAAAATACGTGGACTTCTATACTAATCATGCTAAATAAATAAACACAAATTTAAAAAAGAAGTATCAGTATAAGTATACTTTGGATTAAAAGAACCCAGGATCTATATTAACCTATAGGTTTTTGTTCATTTGTGGATGCTAATTGTTTTCAAGATTTTACTCAACACTTGAGTAACATCATAAGGACTGAAATAAAACACACAAATACCACAGTTGCTTTCATTCAAGTAGATTCAGCATTAGACACGATTAGGAGCACAATCATACAAAAAAAGAGAAAAATGCAGCAGCAAATAAATCAGTACACAAACAAGCTGATACTCACCAAGTGACTGCCCTGCGATGATTCTGGCATTTTCTCCTGCCACAGCAGCCCTCGCATGCCTCTCACTCATGTATTGTACAAACGCATAACCTTTGTGCACAGAGCAGCCTACTATTTTTCCATACTTTGCAAAGATTGCCTCTATATCACTTTTTTTAACAATGGCTGTGTTGAGATTGCCAATGAAGACTCTAGAGTTGATGGATTTGGGATCATTCTTATTGGTGACGTTACTGGTCTGTGTTTTGCCGGTCATGATTTGGTCACTTGACTTCAGCCCTAAAAACAGAGGACAAATGTTTATGTTTAGTTGCACATACTGACCTCTGACGTGGTATATAATTCAGTCATAATTGAATAAACTTGCAATTATATAGCAAGTTAATGTGGAGTAAATCTCACTGAAACCAATGGGACTTCTTTCTGAGTGACGTGGATAGGATTACACTACAAATTAATCTAAAAACAAATACATAAGAAACAGATAGTCCAAGGATGACTGACAAGAAAAGACAGTGACATTTTAAAGAGTATTACCAGAGGCTAATATTAAATCCTTATATGTATGAATTTAAAAATGCTGCTCTTAAGCCAGACCTGCTAAAAATTAGCATTGCACCAATGTTGTATGAATTCAACTTGAGAGTTCAGTCACTGGCTCATTAAATATCCATCGATCTTCATCATGTAAAGTAAGAGAATAAAACCCTATGTGTGTCAGTGAAATGAACAGGCTGGGAGCAAATCTGAAGAAGCATGAAAGACTGCCCTTTTCTTATCTGGCTCTTGTCAATCACTACACATTATCTTTTTCAGTCTATTAAATAGTATAGACCATTACAACCAGCCAAGGTTATACACAGATGCTTAGCACAATCAATTTGTTTCCATTAGAAGCCAGCAATTTCTTCTTTTCAGAATAACTCAAAATAGTAAACAACAACAACAACAAAGAGTGTTACTAATAGAGACAGAACAAACAGCTAATGTTCATCAAATGTCAGAGTAGGATTTTATTTGGACATTAAGACTGTTGCTGTGATTGTGTGGATAGATCCCAGAAAGAGAATGGTTTGAAAACTTTTTGTAGTTTAACTGAAATTGATAAATTGCTATATTTATATTAAATACTCTAATCTAGTGTTTATACTGTAGATTCTTATCACATTATCTAGGATGCTCTATAGTCTACTACAATTAATAGAACTGTTTTCCAACCTGTCTGAAGGTATGTTTGAGCACTTAAGCACTCAGGAACATTTCCAAGATCCTGTGATTTTTATCATGTTATTGACACAGAGACTTTCAAGTGTGCAATGTAAATCCAAATATATACAGTATACAAGTTATTTTCTTTGTAAAAATAACACCTATTATTTAACTAGAGGTCAACAGTATATTTCCAAGCAACCCCTGTGCACTTTCTGCACTTACCAGCTAAGCAGTTAGCCAAGTGTCAAATCCCTGTACATGTCCCAATACTGAAAAATGGCTATAGTGAGGAGAAGGCCATTTTAATGGCAATTAAATACAGTGGTGCCTCGCATAGCAACGATAATCGGTGCAGCAAAAATCGCTGCAAAGCGATTTCGTCACTATGCAATATTAAAAAGCCCCTAGGAATGCATTGAAACCCCTTCAATGCGTTCCTATGGGCTTCAGACTCACCTTTAAGCGAAAATCCTCCATATGGCGGCCATTTTCACTGCCTGGTAAGCGAGGAATCCATCCCAGAAAACAGCGGGCAGTCATTTTTTTAACCTGGCGGCCATTTTGGAACCACCGATCAGCTGTTAAAAATCATTGCTTTGCAATGATTGGTAAGCGAAACAGGGTACCGATCATCGCAAAGCAATTTTTCCCCATAGGGAACATCGCAAAGAGATCGCAAAAAGTTAATCGCTATGTGTTTTCTTCGTTAAACGGGGTGCCCGTTAAGCAAGGCACCACTGTACATAAGACTTGCAAAGTTTGGCTAGGAATTACATTACTGCTCTATTCAGCTTCATTATGGTCATATTTTAGATCCTATTGACTCCATCACTCATGTAAGGTTTAAATTTGAGTTGGTACTTGTTCATTTCTCAAATAATAGGTTCCATGAAACCCTAAAAGATCCTAAGGAATGCAGTTAAGCGTCTGTGTTTAGGCCCACTTCCTACAAACATCAACCAGCATGGAAGCCTCTTCACAGTGAATCTGTTGACAACTGCTCCATAGCAAAGCTGAGCAAAGCCATCTTCTACTAGCTGACAGGGTGCCTTCAGATATCTTACCTTCATCCCTCTGTAAGGCTCAAGATGACTCACCACACTATCTATCTCATTAGATTTTGGAAACTCAGCAGACCATGTGCGGTTAGTACTCAGGTGGGAGACCACCAGTTTACATAATTTTGTACCATTTGAAAAGGGATTGCATGAGATTGCTCTTGGGATATCTTGCAATTCAATGATTTTATGAGGCATATATATGAGAGAGAGAGAGAGAGATGTGGGTCTCTGTGTGTGTCTGAAGGCTACCCCTGCTTATAGGAAAAGGATGGTCATGCACATAACAGTTTCCCATGATTAAAAAAACATTGCAATATTAAAATATTAATTCTGAATTAAGAAAAAGGAGTCAAACAATCTTTCTGATAGTTCAGAGATGAAAAAAGAACATTCATGTAGATTTGTTAGCCTTGTTTTTACAGAAATACCACAATTGGCGAAGCCATCACTCACTACTCGTTTACTCTTACACATTTCCTTTAAATTAATGCAGGCTTTTTCCGTCTTGTGGTATTCATTTCTTCTGCAGTACAAGGTCAGTGTACTCTGCAATATTTTTTCTTTAATGGTGATTTATGAAACAAGTATGTTAATTTCCTATTGTAAAGTGCAAGCATGTTTAACAGAATGCCTAATCTCACAATATGTCTGATTGTACTGTCTGAAGAATAACAAGTCAAACACAAGGAAAGCAACTTGTGCAGCACACGTCTGTGCATACTAATTCAGAATGGGCGTATCCTCCATTGTTCAGAGAGGATTTCAGCGTTAGGGTCAAGCTCGATGTTATGAGGAAGATGCATTTCTAATACAGTAGTTAAGCCATGTCCCCTACCACAATGGATTTCTTCAGAAATTGGCAGACATGCAAATTAAGCCCATGTTTACCTTTTAATGGCTAATTATATGAAAAAGCACACTATGTTATAACTACAATCTAAATATGGGGAGGGGATACAATTTTTGACATACTGTTCAAAAACTAAGTAACACTAAATTCTTCCTCACCTGCACCAGTCAAATGCGATAGGCACACCTATTCCCAACATGGAGACGATCACGTTTATAATAACCCAGTAACAACACAGAGAGTCAGTCCTCACACTATAAAGAGTTTGGAACTTCACTTGGCTCACATTCCATTTTTTAAAAACAAACTCTGGGTATTTCCATGTTAAATATAAAGAACTGTAGTCATTTAGAATAAATTCTCACAATGAATAAACTGAATCTAAATTGTTTTCTACCCTGTTTCATGCATATCCTTAAATGGGGCTCTGCCTTCTTTTGGAAGTATACAGAAATAAGAAGAATCAATGATGCACAAAGGAAAAGTAAGAAAGCAAGGATGTAGCATCTATGATCTCTGCTCAGTCAATTTCCCAAAACTCCTTCGATGCCACTATCACTACATTCTCTCACTCCTACACTAGTGCACTACATACACTACATGTATTTAATTAAATGATGATCACAGTGATTATGACTATGATAAACATATAATCCTACATATGAGATAGCAAACGTGGAAATATCAATTGCTGAATAGTTTAAAAATAATTCAAAATTCAGAATTACCTAAATTAGAAGGACATGAGGAGTTATATCACAGTCCACTGGTTACAACACTGACTTGTTTAAGTGGAGTATCTAACGTTTTTGGATTGCTAGAATTATTTCAACAAATTGAACCAGAAAAATTGCTAAATTCATAGGGAAGAAATGGATGAATATTCAGGATCCATTGCTTTCAGAGATCTTTAGTATACATTATTGTTTTCTAAATAAACAGCACTATCCTGTATACGTTTACTCAAAAATGAGTGCAATGTAACATAAATGGGAATAGGAGTGCAACACAACAAATATTGATGACACTACAGTGAATTTCATCCCCTCTCCCTTTAAAAAAATTATTAGGCATATAATGCAAGACTGATCTAAATGTCTTCCTACCTCTATTGAGTTGTATATATATATTACTGGAGCAACCTCTATGCTTTATTTCTAATCAAGGTCACAATTCTGTTTACATTTGCTAAGGGTTCAATAAAGGATGACTACGACTCTGAACTATGTTTTTCCATGGACAGAATTAGCACTGGAAAATGCACCATGTTTTCTATCAGAAAGGAAAAGATTTGTCTGATGGCTATTCGTCTATAAAAATATGAGTCCAGGCAATTGCACTGCAGTAATTTGTAATAGCAAGAATAATATTAATGTTTGCATAACTGAGATTTGATTGCCTGAAGGCTGGAAGCATAATACAATTGTTTAAATTTCCATGCGACAAAAAGCAAGAAGAAAGACACACAAAAATCTCCATAGCAATGAGAACACAAAATAAGTATTTTCCCCTGCTAACAACATGGATTTGCATAATACTGACATGCACCAGAATAACTTAGAGCCTTACCTAGATAATCATAAATATGAAATTCATACATGAGTTACATGACACCTTTGAAACGGTAATTGTATAAAGTCACATGGGTATAGACTGTGCATAACTACCCACAGGCAAATTTCTCACATGTATCTTCTCAGGAACTCTAGCAGGAATTTCCCACTCCACTGTGGTAACTAGGCTGACATGTCAAGGCACCCACCCTAGGTAAACCAGACTGACAATGCATCCACTGAAATCAGGCCTCCCAAGCACCCCAGTTTCTCCCCACAAGTACTCCAGATATGCAATGCCCACCAAAAATCCATTGCCTCATCATGTTTCACCTAGCAACAGCATTTGGTAAACCATATACTAGCTTAACAACCTTTCCTCACATGTAGCATTGTCTCCAATACAGGGGATGTGGAGCATGACTGAAGAAAGTGAGGCTCTGTTGGCCAAAACTGGCCATATACAGATAGGTGATCTATCACGTTATACAGATCTCTGCAAATTTCTAGCTGAAAAACAAGCAGAGTTTGGCTGGTTTGTGTGTGTGTGTTTTTTTTTTCTTTACTTCCAGTTTTTATTTTTTGTTTGTTTGTTTGTTTTTA